TCACTCCCCATGAGTTGCTTGGAACCCCAATATCCTTTGTACTTTATTCCCCAAATTTCTTTTTCAATCTTTTTTTTTGGAGGATTCCATTGTTTTGCAACATGGGTAAAGAGGGACTTCTTATAGCACTTCTTGTCTTCTCATTTTCCTTTTAACCACACCCCCAACTTAGGCTTTTTGTCCTAAGTTGGCTATTCACTAAACCACAAATCAAGAGGATTATAGGTAGTGGATCAAGTAAGGTCTAGGGTTTATCAAGGTTCTTCCAAAGAAAGTTAAGGCTCAATGGTGTTCAAAAGAGTTTCACACGCTCACAGGTAGGTCACAAAAAGAGGTATATGTCAAATTGGCTCACACTCTTTAATATTGCCTAAGATCATCTCAAGAGTACACCTTTCTAAAACAATCAGACTAACAGGACAAATTGTAGGTTTATTCATGCGAGGTTCAAAGTATGCTAAACACACAAGGCATCGATACTTCAGTCAAGCAAGACTACACACGTCTGCTAGTGTGCAACAGTCATCAGAAGAGAATCAATTTGATAAATAGCTAGTCACAACGAGATACAAAGAGTGCACATATTGTCTATGTAACTTCATTTGGCCTCGTCGTAGCCGTGCATTCATGTTTGTTCAATTGAGAGCACTATTCAAGTCATCGGTATTGATCGAAACTGAGACTTAATTTTTTGCAAAAGAATGACCACTTTCAACACAAGAGGTGGCAAATTTTTTTTGAAAGGATCAAACTTATTTTGCACGTAAAACTACAGGAGCCATAAGCTCAAGCATCCACAAAAACGCAGTATTTAAAACACAAATTAAAGAAGACAACCCAAATATATACAGAAGAAAACATGAATGTCAACACAAAAGGTGTGGGCCTCACCCCACCACAAACAAAGAGTGTTTGTTCTCAAATGCAAGTAATAAGTGTTAAATGGGAATCGATAATGTAAACCAGTTGACCCAGAGATATTTTGATCAACTAGTTGCAAATCAGGCTAGATCTCTCAAAAATAACTCGGGGTGTTGATACACCAACCTTGTGTGAAGATGCTCAGCAGCCATGCAATCCACAACGAAGTACAATTTAGCAACGCGAATACTCTAATAATACTTGAAATATTAAAGTAGCGTGCAAGTGTGAGTTAGGGCGTATGAAAAAGTGAGGTAAGCAGTAAATCGCACACTTTGAAACCTTTGCTTGGAGGACTTTCAAGTTATCGCTTATTCAGTGACATTAATTATACAGATTAATTATACAGGCCTGTTCAGTCGGCGGAATGCCGAATATTTAGCTTCCTCGCGAAAGATTATAGGACATTTGGTTGCAGGTGAGTCCGAACGGCGGTTTGCATTGTGCTCGCCTATAGGGTCGGTGATTCGTCGCTAAATATTTTTTATGTGTGTCGAGTTTTACAGACTCCCAACCCAGACTGGGAGAGTTCAAACGGCGGTTAATAGTGCGATCAGCGAATCAGTCTGCGGTTCGCCAAAGATGTCCTGAGCATTGCCGTTTCTTTCTACGTGTCATTGTGGTGCGCCTATTTGCACTGTTTGTTCACTATCCACGCTTCTATCTGCACAATTGACACATTATTATTTTATCAAACAGATGTAATTGGTAAGAATCTTGGGTTGCCTCCCAATAAGCGCTTTATTTAACGTCGTGGCTTAAAGTAGCATTCTCCAGATACAATTCTTCAAGTAAAGCGATTTCCTGGCAGTCCCCAAGGTATAACTTCAAACTTTGTCTGTTAACTTTAAATGGGGGTCCCTCTTTAACTTCAACTTCTATGGCACCATTGGTGAACACTCGTGTCACTCTGAAAGGCCCAGACCATTTGGATTTTAGCTTTCCTGGGAATAGCCTTAGTCGTGAGTTGTACAATAACACCCAATCTCCCACATTGAATTCCCTCTGGACTATCAGTGTGTCGTGCCATTTCTTCATTTTCCCTTTGTAAATGGTTGAGCTATCGTAAGATTTGAGTCTGAACTCATCTATTTCATTCAACTGGTCCAACCTCTCCCTTGAAGCCTTTGTCCAATCTAAATTCATAGCTTTCAATGCCTATAAGGCTTTGTGTTCTAGCTCAACATGTAAATGGCAAGATTTACCAAAAACTAGTTGATATGAGGACATTCCTATAGGTGTCTTATAAGCAGTCCGATATGTTCACAGGACATAATCAAGCTTTGTAGACCAGTCGTTTTTGCTGTCGTTTACTGTCTTGGATAGAATGCTTTTGATCTCACAATTTGACACCTCAACTTGTCTGCTCATTTGGGAGTGATATGGAGTGGCGACTTTGTGTTTTACTCCGTATTTGCTCAATGCACTGGAAAACCACTTATTGCAAAAATGCAATCCTCCATCACTAATGATTGCTCTTGGAGTGCCAAACCGTTGAAAGATGTAACGCTTCAAAAATTGGACAACTCTTCTTCCTTCATTATTCGGGAGTGCGACAACCTCCACCCATTTGGACACATAGTCCACAACTACTAAGATATACTTGTTTCCAAATGAGCTGACAAATGGGCCCATGAAATCGATTCCCCACACATCGAATAGTTCAATTTCCAAAATAGGTGTAACGGGTAACTCGTGTCTTCTTGACACTCCGCCTTGCTGCTTACATTGAGGACATCGTTTTGTAAAATCGTGGGCATCTTTGTAAAGAGAAGGCCAATAATAACCACTTTGGAGAATCTTAGCGGTGGTACGGTTTCCACTATGATGACCCCCGACTGGAGATGTGTGGCAGGCATGGAGGATCTCATAGCCGACACTATCCTATGGTATGAGTGTCTATGATCGTCGATAATATAGTAACCCAACCAAGGGTTGGCGTCGTGTCCCAAGGGAGTATTTATTAGAATTGATAGAAAAATAAAATTTACATTCTAACTAGTCGTAGCTGAAGACATTTGTGATAAAAGACATTGTAAATTAAAGGGAGCGACACAAAAGTGTCAAATATCAAAGGGGGTTTTGTAACAGGTACTAAAACAGCAAAATAAACAAGAAAATCAAGTACGGGGAAAGGTTCTTGGGATGTGACCGCAATATAAGTTAAGATAAATTGTTGGGTATATGCTTTCGATAGGAGATTTGCAAAATAATAGTGACTAGGATAAGCTTTAAATGGAAATAAGTTCCCTCTCGGGCAACTTACCCCGTTTCAAATGCGTTCCTCTCGGACACCCATTTGCCGCATGAAGACCAGCCTACGCCTTTCCACACTCACTCTCTCCAGCTGAGTGTTAGGATATGGGCCTAGGGCTCGCTCTCTCGGGCTGAATCTCATGTCGACCCACTCCTTAGGCCATCAGTCTAGTGGTTTTGGTTTCGCAATCTCCTTCTCCGGCAAGCCGAAAACACATGGGTGGCTTTGTATTTGCAACTACAAATCCTTTAGATTAAACCATAACCACTAGGTGAAATCACCATTAAAATACATCTAACCTATCAGCAAGCAAAACCCAACAAGAATATCAACCCATATTTGCTAAATCACACCTAAGAATGGGGTTTTTAGCCACTCATCAAGAAATAAGAAATTATACCTAACATGTTAATGAAATCAACTGGGAATAAGAAATTAGACTTTAAATTAAGCAAAGCAAAATGAATAGAGAAAACCCATTTCCACGTTGGGGAAGAAGAACTCCTTTCTTCAAGTCTTCACAAAACCCTCTCCAAACTTGAGAGAAAAATATCAGCTAAAATATGTTCTAAACTGAAAATAATAATAATAATAGTTCCACACTAAGACTACAATTCTAACTAGTATTTATAGTTTTCACAGAAGGTGTTGTGGAGGATTTTTTGCTGATATTAGTCGAGATCGCCGATAAACTCGGTGATCCGCCTTTTTGTCAGCTCATCCCCTTCAGTGTCTTGCCTTTAGCATCCTCGCATTCTGGATCATTGGGCGGTACAGTACTGCTTCGCAGAACTGATCGGCAACTCACTGACTGCTCATTTCCTCGCCTTTTGATCCACTACCTTCAAGGCTTCGCGTACTGGAACGAAGGGTGGTTCATGTCGTTTCAGCGACTCGCCAAGTTGAACTCGGCGATCCGCATGATTCCATTTCTTGTTCTTTTCAGTCCTATTTGCTTCGTTTTGCGCCTAAGTGTCCATGCTTCCACTAAAACATCAAATACCTGAAACTTCAGCATTTTAATCAGGTATTGAGATAAAACAAGCATTCAAGGACACTATTTCTATTAAAATAAATCCCTAAATGAGTCCAATTTGTGGACTCATCAAAATGCATGCTGCACAAAATCCCCGAGCCCATGAAGGACCAATTTCTTGAATTCAACCCCGCAACCCCCGAAAACAACATCAAAGCATGCACTAGTAAAATTATGCTCAGACCCATAACACAGAAGCATAACACCCACGAAATTTACTTCATTTTAGCACAAGCTTATGGGATTTCGACAATCAAAACATTACGGGCAAGATTATCAAATTAAATCAGGCATTCAAACATACTAATTCTATCAGAGAGGCCCAGCACACGACACCATGATAAGATTATTGCAAATGAGTACAATTTCAATAAAATAATCTTAGGGTTCGGAAAACCCACATTTGATGTCGATTAAGGAAGATTGTAATGCTATAAGGCAAAGTAATCCACAATATGAGTACCAATTAATGACTAAAATACTCTAAAATGCAAGAAATATAATAACTAGAGTGCAGGTGTGAGTTTGGGATGATAAAACGTGAGGGAAAGTGAATGAATTTGAAACTTTTAAACCCTTGTCCTGAAAAATCGTTCAGTTCACGCCTATTCGGCGACATTTGTCGTGCTTCGCCGAGCTACTCGGTGACACGCTGAGTACTCATTCACCTCGCCGAATTTTACGGGACCTCCAGTTAATGTGGGGGTCCAAATGGCGATCTCCGTAGAAATCGCCGATATGGTCGGCGATTCGCCAATAATTTCCTGGGCTCGCTGAGTTTTACAGACTCCAATGTAAAATTGTCTTGAGTTTGACGGCGGTTTGGGTCGAGGTCGCTAACCTCTTCAGTGATTTGCTGAATGGACCTGATGCTCGCCAATCTGCACTTTTTGAACAGTTTCCTCACTTCCACCTACACAATCAACACACCATTATTTTATCAAAACAAGATAAAGCAATAAGGGGTCTTGTGTTGCCTCCCAAGCAGCGCCTTAGTTAAAGTCGCGGCACGATGCAAGTCCACCTTCAAAACTCAATATTGGGCTTATCCATAGTATCACTAGGCAAATTCCCCTATTGTCTCGGGTTGGGATGAGACGATATATGACCCATTTGGGTCTCCAACTGCTTGATCGACACTGAATGAGAGGTGACAGTCTGGCTAAGGGTAGACACATCTTCTTTCATTTCCTTTAAAATATTGTCTAACCCTTCAACTTTGTTGAGGATACGAGAGAGCATATTTTCTGACCGACCACCTTCTGAATCTTTTGGCTTTTGGCACTCGTGGGGAGCCACATACCTATCATTCTCCCCATCCTTCCAATTCGGATTACAATCCCTCCATTCACGATCTCGATCTTTCAACCTTCATCCCTAGCCCAACCTTTGTTACCACCCTGCCACGGGTAGTTTGAACGATAGCCACCACTTTTGTTGGCTAGGAAATTTACCTCTTCAAAATACAAGGCTCCGAACTTGGACTCATTCGGATTAGCACACCTGACACCCAATGGCATTGACACTTCAAGCACCAGCTCCCATGACATTTTTAGACAAAATATCAAGTTGTGTCATGATCTTGGGCATGTTTTGGTCCCTCTCGTGGTCCTTCTCCATTTGTTCCTTAGTTAACTTGAACGTGAGAGGGGAGACCTGGTCTTTACGGGTATACCATGCCCTGTTTATGGTAGTCATGTCATCCAAGAGTTGAGCAGCTATCATATATGGATGTTGCATCAAACCTCTCGGAGATAGTAGGTCAGCAACTTCGTTATTTACCAAATCCAGACTCCGGTAAAAATATTGCAGCAACATATTATCAAGCAAGCCATGGGTTGGGCATTGAAGCACCAACTGGCCAACTTTCATGGAAAGGCTCGCTTTCTAGACGCTTGAAGATCTGAATGGTGTCCCGAAGAGTCATCATCTTCGAGGGAGGGAAAAATCGCACTTGAAATGCGATGACCAACTCCTCCCATGAAATGATTGATTCACATGGCAATTCAGCCAGCCACCTTCATGTCTCATCCATTAACGAGAACGGGAACAACCTCAACTAGACTGATTCTTGAGAGATATTCTTGAAGGAGAATGATCCGCATACATCCACGAAGTTTGTAATGTGCTCATGGGGATCCTCATGAGCCAAACCACTGAAAAAGCCCTTTTAGTTGCAAGAGTTGCAACATAGTACTCTTGATGTGGAACACTGCATTCCGTTCGGCCGGATGTAAGCAAATGTCACCAATACCTCCCATGAGATGGGTGTCATTAGCATGAGGCTCGTTAACATCGTTGAGATTTCTGATGTCGTCTTGATGCCCTACATGCCTGCCATTACTGTTGTTCACGCTCATACTTCTTGTTTTCAACACAAACAAGTAAAACAGAGCTAAAAATTAAGTAAGTAGAACTATCACTAACAAGAACAAAGTTTAACTTAACTAAAAATTCTCAATTAACACCAATCCCCGGTAGCGGCACCATTTTGACTTGACATATTCGAGCGCTTCATCCAATACTAAGCTTCCACGGTCGTTCAATAGTAATATAACCCAACCAAGGGTTGGGATCGTTCCCACATGGAGCTGTTTGTAATTAAGAATCTATAGAAAAGCAAAAATATATTCAAGTTAATTATAGTTATAGACATTAACGAGTAAAAATAAAATAAATCAAAGGGTGACACGAGTGTCAATTATCGAAGGGGGTTTTGTAATCAATTATCAACTAAACTGAAAACTAAAATGAAACTGCAAATATGGAGACGAAATTCTTGGGATGTGATAGGAATATGGGCTAAAATACACAACCGGGTAAATGATATTTATAGTAAGTCGCTGCAAATTG